AATGTCTCTGGTATATGGTTGTTCATTGTTTTTGTTATTTTCCACCTGGTCCATTATACTCCTGCTATGAGTGAAATCATCCGGTATTTTTCTTTCTCTTTCTGGCTTATCTCACTAAGCATGATCTTTTCCAGCTCCATCCAAGTTACTGCAAAAGACATGTTTAAACAGTAAAATTTTTTTCATAAAGTTTCTATGGGTCTGGAGTTGGAAGGAGCTTAGATAGGTGGGTGTGGCCTCAGTTTTCAGGAGTTTCTCCTCAGCCAGTCATCTGAAAGCTTGTGTCCATTAGGGAGCTAGCAAGTTGGTACTGCGGGCAGGAAGCCCCTCGCAGTGCAGACATGCACTCTGCCCCAGAGGGAGTGATCGAGAAAGACTGAGGAGGACCTGTTAGGTCTCACAAATAGCCTCAGTGTCACTGTCACATCCAGCACTTTTGCTTGTCACAAATATATCCTGTCGCTAAGCCAATGCAAGTCAGGAGAGGAGTAGGCTCCATCTTTTGAAGGGAGCAGTGGCAGTGAATTTGTGAACATATTTGGAAACCACCACAATCTGGCCTTTGGCCTCAAACTGTTTCTCTCCGGCCCATTACAGGATATATTCCTTTCAAGGTGCCCCCACCCCCACCCCCACCCTCATTCTCCTGTGCAGCATCAGCTTGAAATGTAGGTCTTGTCCAGGCCGGGTCCTGGAGTGGCTGAGGCTCCTCAGAAGTGGGGCTTGAGCACAGCTTCTGAGCCCTGTGCACTGAGAGCCTGCAGCCCCCATTCCTCCTATCTTTTTAGATCACTTATATCAGGGAAACTTTCAAGCAGGCCCAAAGTGTCCTGTTTACTCACCTGTAGTAGTTAGCAGCATTTTATTGCTTTTTCATCTGATACTTCTCTCTGTTTTCATCCTGAACTATTTTTTTTTTTGAAGATTGATTTATTTATGCATATAAGAACTGGGGTACAGGCCAGAGGTGAGGGGTGAGAGGATTCACCCAGACAGTGGGGACAGAACAGGCCAATGGGCTGAAATACACTGCTGAGGGGAGCAGTGGGCGAGACAGGAGAGGTCTGCTGTGCTGTGTTGGTCACTCCCTGGCAGGGGGCGTTGAACTTGTGCTGTAGTGGCTGTGGATAGCTTCATAGTGCTGTGCTTTAATCCGTTGCGCCACCAGGGAGGGCCCTCCTCCTGAAGTTTTTTTTTTTTTTTTTTTAAAGATTTATTTATTTGTG